GGGAGGGGTTAGGGGGGGGGGGGGTTAAAACCCTCCCATACCTCTAACCCCTCTTATAAAGTGTTCAACCCCACCAAAATTTCGCTTCACCCCTCCTATTTTGTGTGAAAGTGTTTAACCCTAAAGCCTACTCCCTGCCAACTTTAGAAAAATGAAAATCCGCCCTTGAATTATGATTGTAACTAGAGTTTTTTTGCAGGCGTCTTTCGACACAGAAGAATTGTGCACAATCTGCTATGCTATGCCACAGTCTGCGGTGTTTGTCCCCTGTGGTCATAAATCATGCAGGTATATATAGTTCTCTAGATTGCACGGCTCAAAAGTACATTGACGATGACTTCGCAAGCTTTAATATCTATGTAATAAATAGTAATTTTGTTTGTGGAAACACCACGTAAATTGACCATTTGCGTAATAGACTAAATTTTGATCTCAACAAAAATTTCATTACAGCTTGAAAGAGCATCACAAAATTAGTAATATTCCAAAGTTTCGTTGCAAAATGTTGTAAAATGCGGAAAATATAGCCTTGCGAAATTTGCAATTTTCAGTCATTTTAGATTACAAACGGGAAATTGACAGCCCCATTATTTGGGGCTGTCAATTTCCCGTTTGTAATCTAAAATGACTGAAAATTGCAAATTTTGCAAGGCTATATTTTCCGCATTTTACAACATTTTGTAACGAAACTTTGGAATATTACTAATTTTGTGATGCTCCTTCAAGCTGTGATGAAATGTTTGTCTAGACTTGTTTAGTTCGAAATTTAGTCTATTACGCAAATGGTCAATTTATTACTGCAAAGCTTTCGATCCGTAAGCCTGGATCTTCATCAGTGCTAATAATATGTTATAATATAAATACGATTAAAAATTCTTTTATGTGCATATAAATTGTCCCAACTAGCCTCGTACTCATGTTAAGATTTCAAAGGAATTTCTACCCAGAAGCGAGGCTAGTTGGGCCAATTTATATGCACATAAAAGAATTTGTAATCGGCAGCCATTTATGAAAAGGGTGTGTAGTTATTAGCACTGATGAAGATCCGGGCTTACGGATCGAAAGCTTTCCACAAACAAAACTATTATATGTTTTATCGCCATGCAAACATACAAAGAATTTATATCTATGGTTTGTAGCTACACATGACAACCGAGTTAGCATTTGTTCAAGCGAAGTCCTTCCAGTTAGATGTTCAATCTATTCTTTTTCGTTCTTTTTAGGGCTTGCATTTCACGACATCTCATGAACAGTAAAATCTGCTTCTTCTGCAAAGAAACCGTGGAAAAATTTGAAGATTGCAGCGCTAGCCAGAAAGACGCAACAAAAGACACCAGTTCGTGTGTTAGCCTTTGAAATTCAAAATTTTTTCGTTTATTTTTTGTTTTGAAAATTCAAATTTTTTTTACGTCGGCAAAAACTGCCGTCGTGATCGCAGCAGGGCGCTTGGGCATATCTCCCTTTAGTCCGTCGGTTCCATTATAAAAATATGAAACGAAGTACTTTGACAAGTAAAATCACTGACAGAAGACATTGCAGGCAAGTATATAGTGCCCAGTCCCCATGCCATCGCTCGCCAATTTCAAAATGTCGGCCATTTTGTGATTTTTTTCAAAAAAAAAACCACAATATTTTTGCGAAAAGACAACCGATATTAGGCAATGGTGACCTATTTAAAAGTATTTAAAGATTGGGTAAAATACCAGAAGAATGTCTATAACACTCTTGGACGAATGGAGATTTTTCGGAGACTTTTACGCGAAGGAAATGTCCGAGTAGGTGCTTCGGTAGGAACGGATAAATACGGCAATGAATACTACGAGAATAACTATTATTTCATGGGAAGAAATCGTTTTGTGAAGTATCCGTACAAGGACCATCGTTTGTCGTTTGATGCGAGCGAAATTCCACCAGAATGGCATAGATGGATGCATTATATGACCGATGACCCGCCAAATAAAGTCGTTCCCGAGCAAAGAAAATGGATGGCTGACCATGAAGTGAATTTTTCTGGAACTGACAAACGTTATGTGCCCTACAGCACAACAAGACCAAAGATTGAAGCATGGCAGCCTCCGAGGAACTAGTAGAATAGAGATTTGAAAACTATAACGATTTATATAAACTTTGAAAAATAAACGCTTGAAAACACTTTAATATTTTTGTGATATTAATTTTGGCATGAGTTTATATTGTGGAGCAACATTGGATGTTATACGTGTTGTGATGTAGTTGACAATTGTAAAATATATTTTCAAAAGTATTTTTTATTGATTTTTAATTTATTTCCGCATGGCTGACAAAATTAGTTCTCCCCCCTCCGTAGGCTCTTATTTATTATACATTACGGGGGGAGTCTGAATGTAGGTTAAAATATTTCACATTTTGACCTCACCCCCCTGCCAAAAGTGATATGAGCATATCCTTCCGGGGGGTGGTGAACTCATTGCAGGTTGCTACGATATTTTTCCTTGGATATTCGGAATATAAAATATTTCACGACACGTTGCAAATATTAATTTCCATAGCTTTGAAAACATTTTCTACAAATTGAACAAGCAAAAGCACAAGAAAAACCTCGCGTAGAAGAACCCTTCGCTACAATTATGAAAGCTTTAATTTTAGTCGGCGGGTATGGCACTCGATTGCGTCCTTTGACACTTTCCCAACCGAAACCTCTCGTAGAATTTTGTAATAAACCTATGATGCTGCATCAAGTTGAAGCTTTAGTACAGGTTAGATTGTTATCCACAACTAACGTTTATATTTTTGTTGCTTTTGTTAGCCAAAGTATTGATTCGATCGAGGCATTTGATATGAAAATATAAAGGTTCATGTACAGGGTTTTTTATAGCCGTTTGTAAAAATTGTTTACATAAAATATAGTTTATAGTTGTATGAAGGTATTATTTATTTATATTATATTGTAAATATAAAGTTTGAATGGGAAAAAGTAAAGAAATTATTATATTTTCCCAATTATTAAAATTATAGATTATAAGATTAGCATTTTTAAATTAATAGTAAATATGCCACTTATTGGCAAGTATTAAACCGATTTTGAATGATTTAATGCTTCTGCAAATGTCATGCAATTAATTTACACATGTTGAGCCACATACTACCGCTAATAGCTAGGCCAGAAACTGATCAGTGATCATTGGCTTGGCCTAAGCCAAGTCTTGTGACACCTTGATTCCTGGACGAACATCCTCGCACCCTCCCTAGATGCCTTAAAGAGTAATAGTGATGTTGATACATAATATGATCTTTCTGTTGTAGGCTGGTGTGACACAAATCATTCTGGCTGTCAGTTACAGAGCTGAGATGTTGGAAAAAGAAATGTCTACTCATGCAGAGAGAGTGAGTCTTGCATGGAGTCATTCTCATACCCCCCCCTCCCTTCTTACGCACAGTGCAACGAGGGGCTCTGGCCAAATCCATAACCTGATACCATAAAAACATGGTAAGAAAACAATATACGGTGTTAGAACTAGCCAATCAGATGCCAGTTCGGATATGGATTTGGCCAGTGGCCCTTGTCGCACCGCACGTAAGAAGGGCTCTGGGTACAAGAATGGCGCTGACTGAACATGAACGAGTAAATGCCCTAGCTAGCCACTGATGAAGGCATCCTAAAAACAGAATTGACTATGCAATGTAGTAATAGCTAACTATTTCATTTTAAGCTTGGAATAGAAATCACTTTGTCTCTTGAGGAAGAGCCACTTGGAACAGGTAATATTCCTACCTTAGTATGATGTCCCTGACAGTGCATTTGTTCACTGATGACATCACAACTAGGTGCCTTTTGGTCTCTCCCAAACACAAAAGCGATGTTCTTTCAAATAGGTTAAATATTCCAGAGACCATCCATACCTTGGGTCCCATGGAGGAAATTGAAAATGACCTTCCTTCCCGTTCAGACTTCCAAATTTTACTATTATCCTCCCTGGCAGAAATTCATTCTGTAGGGGTAGCGTGGATTTTTTCTGGAAATTGACCCAATGTCTCCATACATGCAAATTGAATGCTTTATATTTGTATTATTTGACAGCTGGTCCACTTGCATTAGCAAGAAAACATCTCAAGGAAGATAACGAACCATTCTTTGTGCTGAATAGTGATGTCATGTGTTCATTCCCATTTGCGGAAATGGCGAAATTTCATAAGGCTCATGGGAAGGAAGGGACGATTATGGTACTGTATGAATACTGTGTGGTCTTACTTTTTGAAGCAGAAGAGCACTAAATCATTTCCCAAGAGCAAAAGCATGCAAGAACAATCACCTCAAAATTTGCTGATAATAAAATTGCTTTATTTTATGATGTAACAACAGGGCTTGCAATAGCAGCTGATCACCAATCGATGATCAGCAAGAAATTGTTTATGATTTATGGAAAAGCAGGAAAGTCATGACATCGGGCACTTTGGGAATGCCATTTCAAACCCTGTAACAAGTTATTATATTGTAGGTGACAAGAGTGGAAGAACCATCGAAGTATGGCGTGGTAGTTTATGACCAAAATTCAGGAAAAATCTCAAAATTTGTTGAAAAACCTCAAGTATTTGTGGGCAATCGAATCAATGCTGGAATTTACATGTTTAATCCTAGTATATTAGATAGGATTGAGGTAAGATAATAAAAATTGAATGTAATTCAATTTCATTAAAAATACCCTGCACACTTAGTTACGTTTTGAAAATATCTGTTATTTACCCCATAGGGTCATGTAGGAATCCATATTGGAATGTGCCAAAAACTAATAGACAGTGCTGTAAATGTCCTATAGGAATTCTAATGGAATATCCTATAAGAAATTTATGTATTGTCCTGTAGGAACTCGTGCAGGATTCTATAGGATTAAGTTCAAATCACTAGTAATTTTAAGAATCTTATAGATTACTAAAGCTTTCATTTTAATATATTTTTTTATTTATTTTAAATAAATATGTTTTAATACTTTTATGTTTCAGCTTAGGCCAACTTCAATAGAGAAAGAAATATTTCCAGTTATGGCATCAGAAAGTTGTCTATTTGCCATGGACTTAGCAGGTTTGTCACAGTAGAAAGTTAGTTTATTTATAATGGACAGTTAGTTCTAAGCTGTTCTCCCTAGAGGCCTTGGCCAGTCCCTTTATTGGTCCAGTGTTACTACAGGAAGAAACCCAATACCCAGTCAGAAAACCTCTGGTGTTTGGTAGACTCAAACTGGAAGCACTCTTCTCACATACAGTTGAGATGAAATTATAATAAAGCACTTGCATAGTGCAGGAATGTCACAGTGGCGAAAGACTGAAAATCATATACTGTATTGTAATTGTACACCAACCACCAACACAAACATGTCATAAAAGGTTTAATCTTTACATTGACAAGTTTTCAATTCAATTTCCATGTGTTTTAATTGCAGTAAAATGAGATAAACTTATATTTTTTCAGGATTTTGGATGGATGTAGGTCAGCCTAAAGATTTCTTGACAGGAATGTGTATGTACCTACAACATTTGAAAGAAAAATGTTCAGAAAAACTTTACCAAGGTTCTGGTGTCATAGGAAACGTTTTAGTGGTAGGTGAAAGTTATTCCAGCGAATACATTTGTAAAGGGGAGAAATTTACACAGTTTGCCCATAAAAGAAAAGAGTGAGATGTTTTATCTCGCTGTTTGTTCTATAGACACTACTCTTGATATATTCAAGTTTTCCCTCTATTAGCCATTCCGAAGTTGATGAGTGGACGGGGGACGAGTGTTAAAAAGTGCCCAAACTAAGAAATGAACCAAATCACTAAAAAGACCACCTCAAAATTAGTAAGTATACAAAGTTTGAAGACGTTTACATGAATATCCTTCGAATAATAAGCTTTCGAAAATCGCGATATTTACTATGAAATGTATTGTAATTTTTTGTTTTTGGGACGCGCGTCCTAAAAACAGTCTTTTAATCAGTAATTCCACATTTTTCGAAAGCTTATTATTCGAAGGGTATTCATGTAAACGTCTTAAAACTTTGTATACTTACTAATTTTGAGGTGGTCTTTTTAGTGATTTGGTTCATTTCTTAATTTGGGCACTTTTTAACACTCGTCCCCAGTCCTCTCATCAACTTCGGAATAGCCAATTCTTTTGTCATCGGTTAGGATCCGTCTGCAAGAATTGGTGAAAATTGTCGTATTGGTCCAAATGTCGTTATTGGTCCTGGTGTTCACATAGAAAACGGTAGGAACGCTGTAAGCTGTACTTCAGCTGACTTTGCTCTGTTTTCCACCGTATCAGAACATTGAGTGGAAGTTATTAGGGCCTAAGGGGCGTACCAGTGGAAAAGTGAAGGGGTGGGGAGGGGAATTTTCAGCTCGCACGAATTTTTTTTCAGCTGTCTGCTGGAATTTTTTTGCGGCATTTTAAAAGTATTTTTCATTGCGTTTTCTCGTTGCACGAATTTTATTGATTTTGTTTTTCTTTGCGCGAATTTCACCAACCACACCCAAAAAAGAACATTACAGTTGGCAGAAAAAAAGAGGGTCGGTAAGGAAACCACAGGATTTTTTTTGTTAGGCCCTACGCTGAGTTTTAGTACGGTACGTTTGGAAGAGAAAAGGCATGACATTGACTCTTGTACAACAGGAAATGTCCTATTTAATGTCACTGGATACATGTACTACTATACTGACAATGACATAGCCTGCTCACAGTCTTAATTTGCTATACTACTCACAATGTATTATTCTTTCATGCATGCTTTGTAGGTGTATGTCTGACAAGGTGTGTTTTGTTAAAAAATTCCACTGTGAAGTCACATTCCTGGATCAGTTCGTCTATCATCGGCTGGAAATCAGTCGTAGGTCAATGGGTAAGTATTGATGTAAAAAATAAAGAAGTTTCTCCTTCGCAAAGATTTTAATATTCATTATACAGTATAAATTGCGCTTGGCGTAACATGGCAGATGGAAGACGCGCTGTGAGTGTCCGAAGATGAAAAGCGAAGCAAAGATATAGATTTTTATTCGACTGTAAACTTATCTGCAATCGTTTCACGTTCAATTAAGTGTCAGTAATAAATCATTTTATAATTCAGTAAAGAATGAAAAGACCCAGACATATTTGGTGCGCAAATACGACAAGAGGTGCTTGACTCCTTGAGCATTCACAAAAAAAAAGCCGACACAGAAAAAATGACATTTTTGTCATTACCACACACGTTTCTTAAAGTGGAAACGTTTGTCTGGGCAAAGGCATTGCACTTTTACGTGGGTTTTTATTGTAAGTTTCAACTATGCAGTTTCTACTAAAAACGCCTTCATTGCAGGCTAATTTGAAGTGTTACAAAAGTAACTTGATATGTATGTTGCAATAAGGAAATTGATGTAAAACTGGATTATCTTGTTTCTAGCAGGTTTATAATGCTAACGTGCACATAGTGTTCGCACTTTGGCGAAAAAAACAACACAAAATACTTGTGGGAATCAGGGGGTGGGAAATCTTCATACAACCATAGGTATTTTCAAAAAGGTGCGAGTTTTAGACCGGTCAGCTTTAAGTTTTTTTTAAGCCAATTAAAATTAGATTATTAAACGAAAGCAGCCTTGGATCGCGTTTAATTAATAAAGAATGGCTTCAACGTGCATGCATATTAAATGATATGACTCTCAATGTACAAACGTCTATATGTGTGTGCAAACTTAATCAAAATGTCTACACGGAATAACTTAATTTGGTTTCAAATTAAAAGCTGATGCAATATAATAAGATCTGTAATCCTATATATAGTCAAGAAGGATTAAACTCATTGACCTGTCGTATTCTTAGAGTTGCGTTGTGGCTCATAGTGAACCATTTTGTTTTGTTACCAGGTAAAGATATACACTGCTAGTAAAATCTCACTCAAACCACCATTCTACAGTAAAAAGTCACACAAAGAAGCATAATTTCAACAAGTTAAAATTTATTTACACAGTTTTAGCGAAATATTTATAATATGTACACACCACACACCTCTTTTGTTAGGAGTTAGAGGTCATTTTTTGAATCATTTTTGGGGATAATATCTTTTGTTTTATATATCAGTTTATATCAAATATAATAGCTTATGAAAAGATCCAATTAAGTATACGTATAAAAGACGGTTTGATTGTATATCTAACAGTGTTCAATACTGCGAAGCAAGCTTATATCAGTACGCGCTTTCTTGCTTTCATACAGCTTTGTATGCAGTAAACCTGTTGCCCTCGGCGTTACAACAGGGTATATAACAGTTATATATAAAGTTTGACTGAGGCTGCGATACATCAATCCATATAAACGCCATACACAGTTCCAACAGCGAGGAGGCTCGAGTTCTCATACGAAGCAGTGGCGTAGTTGTCTTTTTCACTGTCCCAGATACAGCGACTTGCAACATGCAAACCTTGCCCTCGCAGCTCACCGATTGTAACAAAACACACAATTTTATACCGCTTGTAGTTCAACTGCTTAACTCGCTTCTCGATTAAGTTCGACAAAGTTTTACAATGCTCACGGCAACGATTCGTGTCATAGACGAGATCTCCAAGCGTCGACAAAGTTTGCTGGATTATGGAACTGACCGTAGATACCTCAAAGCGTTGGTCTGGTTCTGTTTTATAAGTGTTTTGGTAGATTCGTCTGGGTCTCATGAGAGGTTGCAACGCATTGCGTCCTGAAGATAGAGACAGATCCACGCTTAGCGCAGGCTCATCGCAATACGACAAGCACATCGAGGTCGAGCGATCACGCTGTCGTTGTTTTAGTTCCATCATCGTTTTTGAGTCGAACAACGAGATACTTGGTCTTTTTTTCATTTCGGGTTTCAAGATTATGTTCCCAGCATGTAAACGCGGACTGCGTGATACAGCATTCGCCATTTTCCCTTTGTTTTAAATGTGAATTTATAGCTCCTCATGAGGTGTTAAAACTATAGCGTCTGGCCTACTTGTTTGTTTTCCTCAACTTTGAAATATGAGCTGGACGTGAGGGTGTCAATATAGTATCCACGGATTAAATGGTATCAGTTTACGTGCTATTCATAAACACATACCTAAATATTAATCCATTATCCAAATACAAGGTTAATTAAAGCATTCTTTTGAGGTAAAAATAAGTGGTACGTAGCCGTAGGGATGTTCAATGTATTTTTGGTTTTGCAAAGATCAGTGTTTGCAGCCATGCATGTAAACCAGTGGCTGTCAGCTTCCTTCCGATCAACTCGAGTGTATAAACAATATCTGAATGCCCGTAGGATATTTTCCCAACTGGGGTATCCGGCATTCTACATGTGGTTTTCACCTTTGGGAGTTGGGACAAGAGTTAGAGTTGGGACAGTCCTGCTCCCTTCTCAAGTGAAGCGTTCGCAGGCTATGCATTTAATTTGCAGTTGCCTGATTATAATTTCACCTCTGTGTATGTAAGAAGAGTGCTTCCAGTTTGACTCCACTAAACACCTCGCGTTTTCTTTTCCTCTCCAAGTAACACTGGATCAATAAGAGATGATCCTTACTGGACCTTTAGGAAGAACAGTTTAGAACTGATAGAGCTATCAAACATAAATAAAGTTAGTTTAGTTTAGGTTTCCTCCTGTAGTAACACTGGATCAATAAGAGATGACCCTTACTGGTTCTCTAAGAAGAACAGTTTAGAACTAATAGAGTAATCCAGTATAAATAAAGTTGTTTAGTTTAGGTTTCATCCTGTAGTAACACTGGAACAATAAGAGATGATCCTTACTGGACCTCTAGGAAGAACAGTGTAGAACTGATAGAGCTATCCAGTATAAATAGTTTAGTTTAGGTTTCCTCCTGTAGTAACACTGGATCAATAAGAGATTGCCCTTACTGGTTCTCTAAGAAGAGCAGTTTAAAACTGATGAGAGTCATCCAGGAAACTAAGTCAGTTTAGTTCACCCTCGGCTGCGTTCTCATCAGTTTTTATGTATTTTCAGGTTCGTATGGAAGGTGTTTCAGTCCTTGGTGAGGATGTGATTGTGAAAGATGAAGTGTATGTTAATGGTGGACGTATTTTACCTCACAAATCTATCGGAGACTCGTGTCCGGAACCAAAAATCATCATGTAGACACCTTAATAACCACGTGATATCTATACACTGATCTCAAAACATGACTGGGTGATGCGATTTCATATTTACTGACCATGCAATGGGCCCTTGGCATGATCCAGTGATCGGAATGTTGTCATTTCATTGTTTCAAAAAATTTCCATGCCATATATTCAGACTAGTACTTGTATTAGCATTTCTGCAAAGGGCCTATTGTTTTTGTTCTTACGTGTAATATAATATGATTTAGAATGGTCTATATTAACCTATGATATTAACATGTTTTCCGATTGTCAGTTGATCTCAAAGTATTGGCTCACTTTCGGTTTCATTTTGAAAACACGTAGTCCAGTATGTTTTGAGACCAGTATTTTTTAATCAAACTAGTCGAATTATTGTAGCGTATCTGCGGTAGTTCCATCACAGAGACGTTGGCCAAACCATTCATGCAACGCAACGCAACTACATTGTCAAGTTTTTGGGCGCACCTTAATCGACGTTCTACAACAAACCCAATGCCAATTTGTATGTTTATATTCCGTTGTTGACGCAAGCTAACCACTCGCGTTGAATAGTGTAAATTAACCTTTCTCACAGCCGATTTTACCGCCATTTTGGGGGTACTGCCTCTCCCAACAGTTACAACTTTTAAAGTTGCTTTTCATGTTGTTTGAATTCTCTAGAATCTTTCACGAGGGCAGACAAAAATGGCGAATTTTAGCCTTCGTGAGAAAGGCTAATTGGTTAATTAAGACATTTGGCTACATCTTGTCCTAAATAATTTAGACAATTATTAATTAATTAATTAATTAGTTACACCTTACCTTAATTACGGTATAGTAATTAATGAAATTAACGAGAAAAAATGTTTGCTCTGCAGTTTCGTAAGTGTGCTTTCCTGGTGGTATATAGTCGTAGACAGTGTCATTAATGCGTGACGAAGATCGGAGACTGGCCCCTTTTATGACATAAACAGCGAAAGTGGGTCCTTGATGTTTTCCCAATACTTTCATGCATGTATAGATATAAATCGCAGTTGAAACACTCATGAAACATTGAAACATTCATTTTCTGATGCCCCAGTAACAATTCGTGTCTTCTAACTCTGACCAACTCTCGTTTTCGTTTGACGAGGCCTTTACAACCAATTAAAAACAGCCAAATCATATCCCTTCTAATCTCTGAATCCCCTTCTATAAAAAATACCCTGAATTTAACATTACGTAACATTACGTCATTGTACTAAAATGTAACCTGGGTTTCCCCCCAAATATCGGAATAAAATTGCATGCCACAGCGTCCGACTGCCAAGTGTCTTCTTTTCCAGCAGCTAGAAAACGAAAGCGGTTCTCAGAGTTCGAAGAAATTAAGGTTCAAAGCTGTTTTCTTGGTAAGTAAGATGTATTGGACATGTGTAACAAACCAGGGGTGTTTTAAAAGCACGAATGTTGGAAACTACATTGAAATTGTTGCGAATTATTTGCGTTGTTGCTCTTCCGGGCTTCGTCATGAAAGGCAAATTTTCGTGTAACTACGAAGGGTTTAATTTAAAGCAAATATGTTCCAAAACCGAGTAAAAGTGTCAGTTTAATAAACATTCTTGTCTAACAGTTGAAATTGCAATTTGTGAAAGTGTTTACGGAATAGAGTATTGCACTTTCGATATTGTTAATCTCTTTTGTGGTTTTGTTTGTGCGTTCGCTTCGTCACCGCTTTAATACCACCCGTTGTTGTTCTAGATTCGGTCATTTTTGTTATACTTCAATAACGCAGTATATCTGTCGTACAGTGCATGCATCTAGGCCCAAACGAAAAGGCTGAGAGTCGAAAATTTTGTAAGGCTACTGCATGCTCAAAGCAACAGAGAAATTTTAATAAAGGAATATAGTATTTGCTATTTTGAGAAATTTCCAGATTTTCCTACGCAATTTGTCACGTGACCCCAGTAAGAGTTTTTGATTGGTGAATAAAACTATATGTTGTCTAACAACTACATATATGCATCTGTGCCACAACAATTTACCAGTATTAGTCACTTGTTCAATACATTCTGAACCTGCATAGGATTCCACAATCAAGCTGAAATCAATGCGTATATATACATGAAAAAACGTTTGTGTCATTACTCAGGAAGTGGAAATTAATGACATTTTAACTTGATGTCTTCAATGAATTCAGATTTTGTTATGATGTCTGATAACGAGGACACTGTGTTTGTTGAGTGTGGTGATGGTGACGCTAATGAAAGAGAACCAAGCGTTGAAATACTTCGTCAAAACTCGGGTGACCCAGATATGAGTGGTGAACGTCAAGACATAGTCCAGGTACGCAAAAGCCTAGTATACAGGCACAGAATAAGACACACAGAAGGTTGACTCAGCCAAATGTGCTTATGAGAGACATCCCCCCCCCCTAGACATCTGCCATTTTGAATATTATCGGGGGGGTGAATGCCTCTCATACACGCACTGACTAGGACCATGGCGTCAGCATTTTGATGACAAATTACAGTTACGCCAAAATTATAGGGAAAAGCAAGAAGTTGGGCTTCTGTATGCTCTCTATTCTGTGATACAGGTTTTCCAGTCAACTGGGATAATATGGTTAAGCAATTAAGCCAGAATGTGCCCCATTGTATGTGGCCTACTTTGTTTTGTTATTCTGCCTAACAGCTAGGTGTTGCAGGTGTTGAATTGAATTGAAATAATCTTTGTGGAGGAAGCCGTCGTCACCGCAAAGTGATTTTATACAGATGGCTTAAATACTCATCTGACTGCATGTTTGATTTAGACGATGAAGTTATTTGTAACACTATCTTTCTAAAACATGTTGAATATTTTAGGCCTGTGAGGCAGTTAAAAAAGTGAAGGCAGCCATACAATACCCTGATGATGAATCTTTGCAAGAGGCACTGGATAAAATCAAAGAGCGACCACGCATTGGTAAAATTATTTAACCTGATCATTTAAAGCTGCAAATTATGCCAGATTATAAATCAATCTTCAATGGTTATAATTATTTACTATCATTCATTGAATATAGATGCTGAATTTCAAGAAAAGATTACCATTCTTCAAAGTATCCTAGACGTGGAGAAGTATTCCCCATTCCATGATGTTGTTGAAGAAGTCCTAGGTATGTAATCACTAGATGGCACGTACGTAATTTAATTCTAGTCAACTTACTTTAATTCTAAGACTTTTGATTCTATTTCCACAGAACAACTGACTGATGCCCAAGAAAGAGCGAGGACAGGCAAGACATCACTAAGTCGACCAATAGAAATTCTGAACGAAGTCTTGCCAGTCTTTGAGAAGGCATGCTCAGTTTACACAGAAAAGGTTGAATCATCGCCTCGAGTTAATCAGATTTTAAGGGAGCTCGAAAAGATTCGGATCGAGCTGAAGGAATGTGAACAAATTGACGTTGGAGATGTTGAAAAGGCAAAGAAGCTGGAAAGGAAGGGTGAAAAAATGCTTGGTAAGTCAAATATGATTTTGGTTGTTAACCCTGGGCATGCATATTCATGTTGCTTGTAGTTGCTCATTTGATAAGTGTGACACAAGGCAGGATTTTGGTGGAAATAGTGGGGGAGGTGCGAAAAAATTTAGGAGAGGTGCAGCGATCTAGCTCATGATCCCCATGGAAAGTTAGAGCTTAGAACGATGTGACATATGCTTGTAGGGTTATATGTATAATTAGTGTATTAATGAACTATGACTGTACAACTCATCCAATTTTGCTCTTCAATCATTACAAATACTACAAAGTTTCTTTCAAAACATCACATTAAAAGGGTACTTGACACAGAGATGAATGGCTATCACTGTTTCAATTTTACACAAAAACTTTCTTACGAATTGTAGACCCTAAGCAACCAAAAAATTTCAAATTTTCACTTTAATTGAATCTATCATTGAAACTTTTCCAAGGGTAGGTGCATGACTTTTCACGGGAGGTGCAAAAATTGTCAGGGGAGGTGCAAACAATCTCAGGGGAGGTCAGGGGAGGTGCACACCTCCCCTCAAAATCCAGCCATGGTGTGGCAACCACCATTTAATGATACCCTGGGATCGGTTTATAAAACGCTTAATTTTTTATACAACCAACTGTTGCATGTACACATGCTAAGATCGTTATTTCAATCACACAGAGGAGGCAGTGCAGCACAGCATTGATGATGTTGAAAGAGTGAAAGGAAAGATCCAAGAAGAAGAAGTAGCTGGAATACTCAGAAAGTTTGAAGACGCAAGAAAGGAAACAAACGACAGAATGGATTTTCTCACGGGAGATTTTGAACAGATGAAAAACAACTGCGCAGATGACATCCAACTGACTGGTATGGTACACAAGATATTGTTCAGTACACCATCTTATTGAATGTACTTCAAACTAAGGTGTTGTTTTCCTTCGTTTTACTTTTTAGAGCGTACTCTACAAATTGAGATTAGAAGCAAAGAAAGTGCCCGCGTGAAGTTTGAAGACAAAGACAAGAAACTGGATGAAGAGATCAGAGTTGAGATGGACAAAGAAGAAGCAATACGAAGACAGCTGGAAGAAATTCAAGAAAATCGTAGAGTTCTGGAAGAAGATCGAGAAATTAGGAGACAGATGCAGAATAAGGCTGATGTGGTAAGGATTCTGTCCACCATACAATACCATGACTTACCATACTATACCATACCATAACTATACCATAACCATACCATAACCATACCATACCATACCATACCATAACCATACAATAACCATACAATAACCATATCATATCATACCATAACCATACAATAACCATACCATAACCATACCATCACTATACCATAATCATACAATACCATAACCATACAATAACCATACCATAACCATACCATAACCATACCATAACCATACAATAACCATACAATAACCATACCATAACTATACCATAACCATACCATAACCATACCATACCATACCATAACCATACAATAACCATAATCATGCCACCATAATCATACCACACCATACTGTACTATACCAAGGCATGCCATTCCTTAGCATCTCACACCACTTATTAGCATTAGCTAATCATACCATAAATAAAAATTATCATTATACCATACCATGTATGACAGACATAAATGAACCAACATTAACCCTTTCTCCTTTCTCAAGGTGCACAAACAAGCAGAAGACGAATTGCAACAATTGTTGACAAACCTAAATGATCTCTTGGCCAAAGTTGACATTGCAAATGTTGTACTCAAACAGACAAAAGGTATGAACAAATTGCTTTGTTATATACCAATTTCAACATCTTGTTTGCATGTCTTTAACTAATTCTGTTCTATTTATTATTAAGATGTCTGCAATATGCTCTTCAACAAAGCGGTGGAAAGCAAGAACATGCAAAATCGAGATTTGGAAAATGTTTTGGTTCTCACGAAGAAAAACAGACACAATGCTTTGATTGCTCAAGGTGTGAACTGCCTCAACATTCAGGAACGAGAAAAAGGCACAATTGAGATGTTGAAGGATAAGGTAGGAGAAGAAAAGCTGTCACTGTGCTGAGTGGTTATATTACTACCTGAAATAAACAAGCAGAAACTCGACGTTTCGAGCGAAAGCCCTTCCTCAAGAATTAGTAGAAACTAACTCTTGACGAAGGGCCTTCGCTCGAAACGTCGAGTTTCTGCTTGTTTATTTCAGGTAGTAGTTCAGTTCATAATGCTCATAATCTAAACAAAAACTATATATAACTCAAAAACACTAGTATCCACCAATCTGGGAGGGTGGGTGGGGGTAACTGCTTACGATGTGCAAAAAACTAAAAGATGCCAAAGTGTGCCAAAGTCACTTATCATGTGACTTTATACAACTTATGTGACCTAACACCCCAGTATGAGAAACCTGTTTCTCGCTTATTTCGTAAACTCAGACAGCGAGAAACTCAAAAAAAGTTAAATTGAACCACTAAGGCTGCGAGAAAAGGAGAGCTCAAGACGTCCAGCTTAACACTGGACTATAGTAAGGACTGGCCCGTACTAGCGAGAACAGTTTGGAACCGGTTATCCAGTTTAAACAACAGATGGATTAAGATTGATGGTTAACTGCAAAGTTCAAGTCGTATTTTGAGGTCTACTGTTAGGACTGTTAACGTACGTTTACAGTACACACTGCGATCAATCGGCGCGTGCTAGGTTTAGCTCATCAGATCTTAAGTTTGCTAATGTCGCTAGATGAATTGGTCTGACAAATCGCAACGTGTAAACGTACGCTTTTTAACTGTTCGAAGTTAGGACAAATTGTGCATCAAAGTTGAAGCATGATTTAAAACATGTAGAACTTACCTTGCGATTTGAAGTTGTACGTTTGCAGTCTGCCGTAATTCGTGAACGTTAATTAGTTTATAGTTAAAATTGGGGTCTGGTCTTTTAACTTTTTTCTTAGCAAACGTACCTGTCACATTTGCGTTTGTTGTAGATCAAGAAGAAGAAAGTGAAACTACATGATATGCTGAAAAAACATTTGGCAACCGAGGCGAAGAAACTCTCGGAAAAAATCAAAACGATGATGAGTGATCATGACACGAGTAAGAAAACTCTGGAAAAAGTGAATGAAAAGTTGCTGATTTTGAAACAACAAATTTCTGACGTGCAGAGAGAGCTGGATGCAGCTGGAGTATTCTATGTTACTTTGCAACAAAAGTGTAAGTCTATGGAAATTTGCGTGTGAAAATCTCTACAAAAAACCTATCTATCTAATTAAAATTAGCCCCTATCGAACGGATGCTCAAAAACCTCGATATTTATCCAATCATATACCTTCTCACTGACATATGTAATGGACGTATACATAAAGGAAGCTGGACAACTCGGCCCACTGACCAACTCGGCTCATACCATCTTGACTTAATCTAATTAAAGAATCTATCGAAGTTTCAAATTCTCGATCTGTCCTTTTTGATACTAAATTACTGATCATTCAAATCTCTCTCAAAATTTGCAAAGATATAGATCACAGTCATGGTTCCTAGCTTGCTTAATGGTTAGATTAGTCAGTGTACAAGCGGGCGGAGTTGGTCCTTGAATGGTTGGCAGAGTTGGTTAGTGGGCCGAGTTGACTGTAAAGCGTACACATAAATTTGTGGTTAATGCAACTGGACTGGACGTTGGTTAGAGCGCTGCATCGGAATCGCAGTGCTGACCATACCTGACGGGGGGGGGGGCTGGTTCTCAACCTCATACCTAGGCTCTTTCCACTACACAGTGGGTACGAGGCCAAGTCATCCACCACCTTTAGCGCCGCCCTTGGTTACATTCAAGGATACTGGACGATGTGAACCAACAAGCTGTAAATCTTAATACTGTCTGGTTACCAATAGTTTTATGTTTTTTTTTCAACAGATGCTGAATTCAAGAAGTTAGACGAAGGTGATGATGGCCAATCCTTGACTTCTTTGCCTTCTCTTCCTTGACTTCCGTGTCTTGGAAAACAACGTGGACGCGCGGACATGCTTGGGAACGTTAAAGTTGAAATTAATATCATGAGATTAGTTCAGATTTGGGGAGTATCATTCAAGAATCAAGTGGCTTTAATTAATCGAACATTTAGATAGTTGAATGTTAACCATATAAACTTTTATCTACTTAGTTAATATGCTAACCGTATAAACTTTCTGATTTTACATTACTCACGTATAACGTTATTCATTGGCATTGCTGTGTAATATATTATAAACATCACCAGTTTTATACCCTGCGGCCATGGTAGACGAGAAATTGTTCTGTTTGTGCTGGAATTTATGTTTCTGGAATGTAAATGTGTAAATGAGTAAATATATAATACTGTAACAGTACTCTGTTGCTGTTTAAATGTGTGTTTGAAGTTTATGAAAGCTGAATTTGAAAACTAAAATGAACATTTCATTTTATCTGCGAGTGTCACCCTTGGATGCAAATGACGGTAGCATTAGTTCTTTACTTGTCGTTGCTTACATGGAGTATCGAGTTCGGTTCACAATGCCACTTTTATCCTCCATAATTATTTTGAGCTCTGAACTCAAACAGAAGGCTTCTCTTAAGATTTTTGTAAGATTTTTTAACTTCTTTGATAACTAAAACACGTATTTAACAAGAAAAGCTTTAATATCTTGATAAAGAAATAACAAATTTAGCAAAATAACTGCAATAAAATTGGGCTTTTGTTTGTGCCGCTGCTCAAGTATGAGCGGGCGCAGTTTATTGATAAAAAGCACGAAATATGAAACATAAGTTGCACTTTTGATCAAAATTCAAAATATATTTCTGTATTTTTGCTGTTAAAATTTATTCTTGCTGTTGTATTACACCTGCGGATTAGTACCATTGTGTTGTTATTTGTTCATAAGAAGGCAATATGTCTAAACGAAGACGCGATGCAGAAGCAATTGAAAAACCTGCCAAGGCTATTGACAAAGAGACTAGTTTTGACGAGAAACGTGCAAAAGCATCATCTGATGGTGAGGAAATGAAGGTATGAAGTATGAATTATGTTTCTGGGGATTAGTTTCATTGTTTAGAGTACAAATTAGATTGTACCTAGTGTCTAGGTTCACTGTAGGCTGTAAATTCTTAGATGATAATCTTAAAATAAAGTATGGGTTCTGTATTAAGGTAGTATTCTACCATAGTAGATGGTTTTTTTGTGGATGTAAATTGCATTCAAAAATACCATCTACAAAAAAAACATCTAAATTGTTACATGATCAATAGTATAGATTGTAAATGATCAATACCAAAATATGCAAGTGATTACTTACCACAGATGTTAAACAACCAATAATGCAATTAAAGTAATCAATATTATAGATTATAAGTGATCACTAGTATGAATTGTAAATAATCATTACCACAGATTGCAAATAATTGGTAAAGCAGATTACAATCAATCAATATTATAATTTACAAATAATCAATATTATGGATTATAAATTATTATACCACAAATTGTCATAACATAGATTGTAAATGATCAATAATATTGATTGTAAATAATCAATAATATTTGTTTGTAAAGAATCAATAATATTGATTGTAAATAATCAATAATATTGATTGTAAATGATCAATATACTAGATTGCAGACAGTCCATTCTTGTGGATGCAAATGCTCAATGTTAGGTTGCAAATCATCATCATAGATGTTATAAACATTGAGAACATTGCATTGATCCTAAATATAATCAATACCAAAGATCATAAATGATTTTAGAGTTCCAGTGAAGAGCTCTTAACAGCCAGTCCAGGTCCAGACGAATCCCGTCCTCAGAGGAATAAAGGACCGTCCAAAAAGAATGAAAATCTTTCTGATTTGGAAGAAAGGCCTGAGTTGAGAGCTCAGAAGTCACTGGATGGTGAAGACAGTGCAAGTGATAAAGGATCTGTAATGGAGGAAACAAACAATCATTTATACCAAGACTTGCTTGATGGTGTACTCAAAATGAAGGACAGTAATGGCAGAATGATTTGTGAGTTGTTTCTCAAGTTACCTCCCAGACAAGTAAGTATGTTGATGTGTAAATTAAACATGAGTTCCAAAGCAGTTGTCACAACTTATCAAGTGCAATCACCTCCTAATGGCTGTGTTTTATTCTGACAGCAATATCCAGAGTATTATAGAGTGATCAAAGAACCCATTGATCTCAAAATGATTTACTCTCAAGTCAAGGTACGTCAGGTATTTTCATTATACTGGAAGCGAATAATAATCCTTAACCAAACTAAAACTAACTTGATTCACAGTGCAGTAGCACTACCATATCAGTTTCAAAGTGTGACTAACCCCAAATATGATTTTTGGTATGGGCTATACTTGGATCATTTAATATATCTTTATAGTAAAAAACCTCATCTTGATCAACAACTTTTTCACTGTCAAAGTTTCCGGATATGATGTCATTAGGTGAATTTTTGGTACAAAAAACAAAGGAAAACTAATTTGCCATTCACCTAATGACATCATATCCGGAAACTTTGACAGTGAAAAAGTTGATCAAGATGGGATTTTTTATTATAAAGATATCTTACATTTCTTCTTCGAATGACCCAAATATTACACATACAAAAAATCATATTTGGGGTTAGTTGCACATAAATGATTATCTCATCAGCTCTCTAGAAGTGCAGTAAGGATAACCTCTTGTTGGTCTACTGTTAAACAGATTGCCTGTAGTTTGGTCGAATCAAACTGGAAGCATTCTTTTCATATGCTGACATACAATAGCCTGCTCACAGCCTTTCAAAATATCAGGCTGCGAGCAGGCTAACATACAACTGAGGTGAAATTATAATCAGACCACTGCATATTGCAAGAATCAAATGATAATGGACCTTTCCCCTTATAACTAAAATCTCGACCTAGACAAAAATTTCATCACAGCTTGAAAGAGCATCACAAAATTAGTAATATTCCAAAGTTTTGTTGCAAAATCTTGTAAAATGCGGATAATATAGCCTTGCGAAGTTTGCCGTTTTTCAGTCATTTTGTATTACAAACGGGAAATTGACATACGATTCGGGTGTTGGGGCTGCAATTTCCCGTTTGCAATGCAAAATGACTGAAAATTGCAAACTTTGCAAGGCTCTATTTTTCTCATTTTACAACATTTCGCAACAAAACTTTGGAATATTACTAATTTTGTGATGCTCTTTCAAGCTGTGATGAAATATTTGTCTAGACTTGCCTAGATCAAAATTTTGGTTATAAGGGGAAAGGTCTATTGGAGAGGTGACATGCAACGAATGACCACTTGGCCCTCAACACTCCTTATGCAGACCTCTGATATGGATTGGTATCAGACTCTTCTGCATCCAATAAATCTTGATTTCACATTATCTCATCTGACTCCAAAGTCCCTTGGAAGTTCATTCCTTACTGTATTATTTTCCAGAACAATGGTTATACTTCAATGGATGAAATTGAAAGAGACTTGAATCTTTTGGTTAAAAATGCTCATGCATTTAATGAGCCTGGCTCACAAGTCTATAAGGTTTGCTAAATTCCTTGTGAGACATTACTAATCAGAACTTGTTCACATGCTAAATAAATATGCGTGTTAGTCTAGGCCAAATTCAGTAAGACAGTTTAAATTTAATAAATTATAATTATAATATTTCACCCCTCAGGATGCAACAGCCATCAAAAAGACAGTAGTGACAAAACGACTGGAAATTGAACACACATTATCTGGTGCTAAATCCAGCAAGAGATTAAGGTCAGTGGAAAAGAATAGTTTGAAGTGGAAAAGAATATCTAATCACTTACTCGAACCGACCTGACCGCGTAGCTCAGTTGGCAGAGCATTGGACTAGTATTCCAAAGGTTCTAGGTTCCGTCTGGTTCGATTCCCACCGTGGCCAGGCATATTTATCAAGCTCGCCCGGTGTGGATATACACTCAGAGTAACATCACAAACATCATATTCACCTGAGTACACAACACCAACACAGAAAAAAAATCATATTATTGGAAAAGAATAGTTTGAAAAACTTGTGTTTCTCTCCTGAATTCAAGTATCTCTGCTTCCCTATTAACCCATTAAGTTGCATTGCAGCCTACTTTATCATTTTACTCTGTCTAATGCCAGATGATTTTACTCGTCGAGGAGAAAGTGCGAGCGCTCAATGGATTAATGAGAAGGTGTCTACAGTGGATAGTTTCTCAAACAATGCTGTCCATTTCTCATTCAGATCAAAACGTTCGACATCCAAGATGAGTTTTGCAATCAATGCTCTTCTTTCTGAGTCAGATGACGAAGACGAAGATCTTTTGAATGACGCAACACAGCTGCTGGAAGAAGATGAAGTCAACAGAAATACTGGTATGGATTTGCAACACCATCCGCTGCACAAGACAAATAATTTCTAGACTCGCAACGAGATTTTGAATGTCAGGCATGCAATTTAGTGCCAAGTGTGAAAGTTATACAAATCTGTTTGCTTACTACTCCAGTCGGTCATAAGAGGGTTGTTTTATTTAGATGGCGACAGTGAAGATCCATTCTTGACTCTGTATAACTCTGTTCGAATGTATGCTGACTACAGTGGACGGATACTGAGTGAGGCATTTATGAGACTGCCTTCGAAGAGGTATATACAGTTTAATCTCAAACGTTATGGTCTAATGTAGGTAATATTCTACAATAAGCTGCCGTGGTTTGTGTCTGAACTACCTGAAAAAGATATCTCAAACGTGGTGGTCCAGTGTAGGTAGTATTCTATACAATAAGCTGCCTTGGTTTGTGTCTGAACTACCTGAAAAAGATATCTCAAATGTGATGGTTCAGTCTAGGTAGTATTCTACAATAAGCTGCCGTGGTTTGTGTCTGAACTACCTGAAAAAGATATCTCAAATGTGATGGTTCAGTGTAGGTAGTATTCTACAATAAGCTGCCGTGGTTTGTGTCTCAACTACCTGAAAAAGATATCTCAAATGTGGTGGTCCAGTGTAGGTAGTATTCTACAATAAACTGTCGTGGTTTGTGTCTGAACTACCTGAAAAAGATATCTCAAACGTGGTGCTCCAGTGTAGGTAGTATTCTACAATAAGCTGTCGTGGTTTGTGTCTGAACTACCTGAAAAAGATATCTTAAATGTGGTGGTTCAGTGTAGGTAGTATTCTACAATAAACTGCCGTGGTTTGTGTCTGAACTACCTGAAAAAGATATCTCAAACGTGGCGGTCCAGTGTAGGTAGTATTCTTCAATAAGCTGTCGTGGTTTGTGTCTGAACTACCTGAAAAAGATATCTCAAACGCGAGGTCCTAATGTAGGTAGTATTCTACAATAAGCTGTCGTGGTTTGTGTCTGAACTACCTGAAAAAGATATCTCAAACGCGTGGGCCTAATGTAGGTAGTATTCTACAATAGTCAATAAGCTGTCGTGGTTTGTGTCTGAACAACCTGAAAAAGATATCTCAAACGTGGTGGTCTGGTGTAGGTATTGTAGTATTCTACAATAATATACGTTTGTTTTGATTCGAACTACAATACCTGCAATTACAAATTCTTACTAATCATTTTTCAGAGCATACCCAGATTATTACGAAGTGATTAAAAACCCAATTGGATTGTTAAAAATTGGCTCAAATATAAAGGTACCTGGAATTTTTCTTTTCAAAAAATTTTAAGACTTGTTAGAAAGTACTTGTACATAATCTTTATTACCTATACTGTACAGCCTCACTTCTCTAAATATTCTCTAAATTTTCAGAATAATTACTTCGAAAGTCTTGATGAACTTGTTGCCGAGATGAACCAATGTTTTCAAAATGCGAAAATTTACAACGAAACTGAATCAATGCTGTATCAGGTATATGGCTGCTTACACCATCGACGTTTCTGCGATATTGAACTTGACAAGTTATTCTCGTTGGCTATTTCAGGATGCTATAACGTTGCAAGACATTTTGAAATCAAAGAAGGCTGAAATTGAGAAGATGTGTCTTGACAAGGGAATTCCTTTAACAAGACCTGTTAATAAGGTATTACTGTAAGGCCAAAAAACAATATTTGGGTTTCCGGTTTCTTCTTTATATATAAAAACGTAGGTAGGGTAGGTCGGTTATAACTTTTTTTTAAACTTTTTTTTTAATTTTCCTAACAACCGGACGCCATTTTGTTTAGTCAGTACTTCCACATTCAAAGATAAATTTCCCTAATATTGCCTCAAATTTCCATTTTTTGCAAACGTTTTCCTCTAAGTGGAAACACAAGCATGATCCAATAAAAAAGTTTAGGGTCGGGATTTCGGGGTCCAAAAGCTAGGTAGGGTCGGGAAACCGGAAACCCACATATTTTTTGGCCTAAGCGTCAAATACTGGTATTAAGTTAATGCTAGTATTAGTAATATATGCCTTTTTCAATGCTGCTGTAAACTACACTAAAAAAGTAACTTCATAGATCTATCAGTTCTAAACTGTTCTCCCTAGAGGTCCAGTAACTGACTAAGGGTCATCCCCTCATTGATCCATTGTTACTTCATTGCGGTGCTTTGTGTTAATCGAACAAGATGCCCAAAATATTGAGTGTTTGGTAGATTCAAACTGGAAGAACGCTTCTAACATGTGACTGAGGTGAAATTATAATGAGACAACTGCATATTGCAGCAACCAGACCTCAGTCACAGAGGCGAAAGGTACATGCATTAACTACTGAACTGTGCCTATGCTTTCACAATATTGATATGAACAATACACCCTTTCGATAATTACGTCACACATACTTTTTGGTCTTGGAGCCTCGCTCTCATTAGTAAATTACGCAAGGTGATTGGCTCACAATTCATGAGAGCGAGGCTCCCAGGACAAATGACGTAATTATTGAAAGCGTGTATTGATATTTCAAGCAGAAAATTCAAAAGACAAGCGAAAGTCCCAGTGAGGAAGGCGACACCGACGGCAAAGACACACCAATGTCCGCGGGTAGAATTCAAAGTAAGAAATCTGGCAAGAAACAGAGTGAGAGTGAAGCTTTTAAGAAACGCATGAGAGAAATGTATGATGCTGTTAAAAAATACCAGGTAAGAGCTATATAGTCGTAGGCTTCGTCTCGTCTACTGTAAACACATACAGTCTCGAAATAAGGTTCACACTAACCGTGTTCTAAGCTGAGCTAGGCGTCTTTGCACTTGAAGTGACTAGCCAGGGTTAGTTTTCGTAACCTTAAGTAGGAAATAATTTTTTCCGTTTAAGGACGACAATGGAAGATTTTTATCGGAACTTTTTTTGGAGTTACCCTCAGCTGCCGTAAGTAATATTAGAAAAAAGTAGTTTTACAAACTTATATTCTAGTCCGTTGAATAACAAAATATCCAGTATTTCTACTGTGCTCTACAACCCAGTAGATGAATAGAACCAATCTCCACTTGTTTATGATCTAATAGTTAGTTTCCATTCTAGTTATATCCAGATTATTATGAAATTATCACAGAACCAACATGCTTACACATGATTGATAAGAACATTCAAGAAGGCAAGGTCAGTAGAGGAAGAGTGTTCACACACTTTCCATTGTGCTAAACTCCGTTAAAGACACAGCTCAGCCTTTTGAATGATGGTTTTTAAGGCGCATTTCTAACTAGGAAAATCAATTATGCATAATTCAAGATCAGCAAACTCGATGTTTTTAACAATAAAAATGTTTTAAAATGTTAAAAACATTAAGTTTACTGATCTTGAATTATGCTTAATTGATTTTCCTAGTTAGTTTTTTCAATAAAAAGGGCTGAAATGTGCCTTAAAACCTTAAAAAACCATCATTCAAAAGGTTGAACTGTGCCTTTATAGACTGCATTTAGCTTGCATTGTTACGACTTAGAATATATTACCGTAACACTGGATAACATTGAGTAACATTGAAAACCATTATTTGTTTAATTTCAGTACCAAACAGAACAACAGTTTCTTCTGGATTTTGAAATTATGTTTGAAAATGCGAAACATTACAATGAAATTGGTTCTCAAGTACACCAGGTGGGTAGCACGGAGGGAAATTACTTTTACTTTATTCACACTGAACTGTACTTGTATAATATCTGTGTAATGATTTAATCTTAGGATGCCCTGACTTTGGACAAAGTTCTTAAAAAGAAACGAAAATCTCTCGGTCGATCATCATTTGGTATGTTCTTTCTATTTTAGCCATCACGTCAGAGTGATACCTTACCCTCGACCTACACAGGAAAAAAAGGCCCAGCCTGTAACAATGTTGTTGAAAACGGCCCGAACAATATTCTGCTGAACAATAATGCTGAACAATATTGTTAATAACCAGGAACAATATGGGCAGCAAAATATTGTTCAAGCTTGTTTTCATCGGCATTGTTATACAGGCTGGGCGTTTTTTGTTGTGTAGCAGGCTTAACTCGGCGGCAATGCACTAACCGTGTGTCTTTTTGTTGAATTGTTTTGCAATATTTTAGGTCAGATCGAGAGTGGTGCTTCACCAGGTCCTGCAGCTAAACAGCCCAGTACGGGCAGCAAACAGACAACACCAACTAAATCTCGTTTTGGCAGAACGTCTCAAGCTGGGGCTACTTCCGATGTTAAAGAACTTTGTAAAGAGTTGTATAATTCTGTTAAAGATTATACGGTCAGTTACTTTTCATAAACTAACTAACTATAATTATACTGGATAGCTCTATCAGTTTTAAACTGTTCTCCCCCAGAGTTCTAGAAATGGCCATACTTATCCAGTGGTGTAACTTTACTTTTTTGACCACTTGCCCTCAGGGCAAGTTGGACGTAAAAATTAGTTGCCCTGAATAAAATTCACTTGCCATCAGACAATGACCACTGGGGTACCTAAATAGGGGGTATAAATTAAGGGAACAACATGTTGACCCATTATCCCATTGCTCTATACAGCTATGTTATACTGCCTCACATCTAGCTTTGGCCCACAAAAAAACAATGCACTATAAAAAATTTATCCGACAATGAAAACATAAACTTAAGGTAACAGAACACCTTTGAGTGTTAATTTTGCCTAAAAATTTTTTATTGGTCTCCATGAAAGCATTAGACTAGTTCTACTACCTGACCAAGTTTGAACGAAAAATGTTGAAAACTCGCAGAGTTATTTAATAAAATACATTTCGCTGCAATAAGAAAAACATTGAAAATGTAATATTCAAATTCAATTTTCTACCGAAGAATTTTACGGCAATTACTGATTTTCAAACGAGTTGTGCTCCTGCGGGTTTTAACGAATTTCTCTCAAATTTTCACAGGGCATAGCTAAAGACGTCAGTTTCAAAATTGTGTTCGGCTTTGTTCTAATTTTGGATATTTTAATAATAAAGAGCAATTCACTCAAACAATTCAGAAATATATTGCAGTCGTCAAAGAAATCGCCATATCAGCGGAATGACGAAATAAACAAAAATTTCCGAACACAATTTTTTAGAACAACTATTTTACTGTTTAAAAATGATATTTTCATAAATACAACTTAAAACCAGCAAGAGCACAACTCAAAAGCGTAACGGTACCGCGATTTACGATTGTCCTGAATAATTCTTACATTATTTTATTGTTTGTTAATTTTATGACTTTACCATATTTTGCACGCACTGGCGAACATTTGGTGAAAATTTGATGAAAATCGGACTGATTTTGAGCGCGCAGTAGCGATTTTCCGCAAAACGCAAAAAAGGGTGTCCTCAAGGCAACTTGCACAATCGGGCAATCAAGATAAAACGTTTACTAGCTTGCCCGTCATGATATTAACTTGCCCCGGGCAAGTGTGAGGTCTCTGTTATCCCCCCATTTACAGAAATGAAAGGCACATTTTTTATTCTTTGTCACAGGACAATACTGGTCGTTATCTTTGTGGGATTTTTCAAAAGCTTCCTGCGAAAGCTGTGAGTCGATTATGTATTGTATATTTATGGTTAGAAGTACCTTGCTCGAATGAATGCGTTCACACACGGTTCACGTTTTTTACTTTAATGTTGACGATTATAATGACGTAATGTATGTAATGTTGACGTAATGTATTTAAACTAGAAGTGACGTATTTTGCCAGGATTATCCCGATTATTACGCGTTGATCAAGAGACCCATTGACATGACGAAAATCGCGGGGAAACTTCATGCTGAGCAGTACAGTTCACTCGAAGAATGTTTCCAAGACTTTGTTCTCATGTTTGATAATGCTTGCAAATATAACGACCCTGACTCGCAAGTATACAAGGTATGCTGTGTTTGGTTTAACCAAGTTTGGAAAGTATGTAGTGGCAAGCCCGCCGAGATGTTGCACGGGGCCTGGGGGCGAAATTTTCACATGGATCCCTATGACGTCATAGTTGTAAAACAGGAGAAGCGGTGTGTCAAGAAAATTGAAAGACCTTCGTTGTTTTAGGGCCCCCTTTCCAGCTGGTGGGGGGGGGGGGGGGGGGCGACGTTCTCCCCTGCCCCCTCCCCCCCTCCGTGTAGTAGAGGTCATTTGACAATCCAGAGATTAGCCCGACAGATTGCTTGACTCTAACTTTTTATATGTGTGCACTACATTGTAGGACTCGTTAGTTTTATTGCGAGAGTTGCTGGCGACAAAACTTGAACTTCTTGGTAAGAATCTCGTTTTATCTCTTATTGGGGCCATCTATTATTTATCCAATGTTACTACGAGAGAAGAAACTTGGAATACCAGGAGAAAACCTAGTATCGTGATTGTTGTTTAGTAGAGTCGAACTGGAAGCACTCTTCTGACTATTCTTGTTCATGTTTTCTGCCCCAGGTGATTGTGAACTTCACGTTCCTGATGTGCCAGATCTCGTTCAGAAAATGTTGGAAGATCTTTACAATGCTGTCATTCATCACCAGGTACAAGATTGGGCAAATATCACATTATAGTTCTAGTTACAATAAACAAAATATGTGAGTGGTTCAGCTTTTTTAACATGTGTATTAGTTGACATTATGTTGGTTATACAGTAAAAAATCATTTTCCGTATGCTGTGTATAACGTTTCATTCTTCACTTGAACCACCCACATATATTCATTGAGGTCATGCAGTTTTGCTAAGAGCTAGACGCCCTGCTAAGAGGGAAAATGTTTTTAATTAGGACGATGAAGGTCGCTGTTACAGTGACTCGTTATTGAAGTTAACAACTGCGCAGGAAGTGAACGAAAGTGGCCAAAAACGGTAAGATATCTACCCCAGTAAACGATTTAAGTTTCTTAAGAAACGTAACATGAAATGTCATCAAAGAATTACGTACTATGTATACCATTCATATTTATATATCATTTTGTGCTTCCAGGCATATTTTGTCATTGAGTACCATTGGCAAGCTTATTCAGAAGGTAGGAACCTAATGCGTCTTTAAATTATAAAATTTTCCGTCACCTAGAAATTTATTAATATTAAAAATATTTTTAGCGATACCACAAGAGAAACCTAATGGGTGTCTTTAAATTATAAAATTTTCCGTCATTTAGATATTTATTTATTAATACTAAAAATATTTTCAGCGATATTACAAGAGGTTAGATAAACTACAAGAAGATCTGTACGCATTTTTTGAGAAAGCTCGAACACATCGTTCTGACTCAGAGGTATGAGTTTTTGTTCAAATAAAATTTTGCTGAACTAACTATCAGTTCTAAACTTGTTGCTCCAATTAATGACGAAATTCGTTGTTAGGTTTACGATGATGCGGTTGAATTGCAACAGTTTTATGTGCAACAACGAGATCGCGTTTGCAAAGACGGTGAACGTTTCGTGTCGCCCGCAATATCGCAAACGAAACGGCATTTACAACACGAACTTGATGAAGAACGAAAACGGAAAACGAAAGAAGAGGCCTCGGATGCGATGGACGTTGATGTCGCAAAGCATGCGGTGAGGAACAATTTTTGATGCGAACTGTTTCTCTTCGGAGCATTTAGCATGAGCTCACCCTAAACATGGAGCGAGACGTAGATTTGTCAGAGGATGCGGGAGGGGGGGAGGGTGCTCCTAGCACTGGTCAGGGGGTGGTGCTATTTTTCATGATAAAGCAAAAAGAATATTAGAGACAAAATGAGATACAGTAATTTTACTAATTTGAGTAATCAAGCGTGACATTGTTTTCCTCAATTCATAGGATGGTGTAACTGAGCTTTCTGAAGCGAAACTTGATGATCTAGAAATTGCAATTGGTGATTTCGTTTATGTCGATGCAGAAGGGTGAGTATCAAGAACATATCACATGTGTGTGGAATAAGATGTCTTGTGGCTTAACTCTTGTTGTTTCTTTCTACCAGAGATCGGTTTATAATCGGTGTTGAGAAGATTTGGTCTGATAAGGATGAAGTTAAGGTATAAGGCCTTGAAAATTTATATACAAAAGAAATAGCATAGTTTTTTTTCTCCAAAAGGTTGCCACAACTGCCTGTTTCATCCAAAAGGAATTATCAGGTGGCTCCTGATGATTCCACGTGCCTTTCAGTTGAAATAGGCTGCATGTAGTGGAATCTTTTGAAGTAAAAAACTATGCTATTTGCTCTATCTATATGATATTGACCACTCTTTAGCATGTCGTAAACCAAAACACACTCGTGCATGATAATTTATAATCCTTTGTTGTTTCTCTCTCAGTGGATAAATGGGTCATGGTTCTATCGTCCTGAACAAACTGTCTGTGATGGAGACCGGAAATTTATTGAAAAGGTACAGCTTAAGAATTGCATACTGTACATTTTTTATTAATAGCGATTAAACCACTGTTGGTGAATTATTACTGAGCTTTTTAATATTCCACAGGAAGTGGTCCGAAGTGACAAAAAATCTGCCGTAAAAGTGAACCAATTAAAAGGATTGTGTTACGTGATGCACGTCAAGAATTATGCAAGAAGTAAACCACACGTAAGGCAACACTGTCCAGTATAAATAAAGTTAGATTAGTTTAGGTTTCATCTAGGGATGACCCTTACTGGACCTCCAGGGAGAACAGTTTATAGAGCTATCCAGTATAAATAAAGTTAGATTAGTTTGGGTTTCGTCTTGGAATGATCCTTACTGGACCTCCAGGGAGAACAGTTTTTTAGAGCTATCCAGTGTAAATAAAGTTAGTTTAGTTTAGGTTTCGTGCTGTAGTAACACTGAATCAATTAGAAATTACCCTTACTGGACCTCTAGGAAGAACAGTTTATAGGGCTATCCAGTATAAATAAAGTTAGTTTAGGTGTCCTCCTGTAGTAACACTGAATCCGGCAATAAGAGATGATCCTTACTGGACCTCTAGAGAGAACAGTTTATAGAGCTATCCAGTATAAATAGGGTAGTTTAGGTTTCCTCCTGTAGTAACACTGGATCGATAGGAAGAACAGTTTAGAAATGATAATGCTGTCCGGTATAAATAAAGTTAATTTAGATTTAAATTCCACAGGATTTCGAGGACAAAGATATATTTGTGTGTGAATGTGCGTACAATGTCAGTCGACAGTTATTCAAGAAAATCAAGTCTTGGCCAGGAGGACATGGACATACAATGCGATATGTACCTCGTGATCAACCACTGCACCTCAAACGTACTCTGTTAGATCCAAGCAAGACTGGAGAGACTGGGGAGAAGGATGATGAAGATTTGATGACGTCATTGTTTCAAGCGACTGAGGAGAGGAAGGTAATTCGGGTATTTTTAGGATAGGAAGGGAGTTGTAGTGTTTTCAATGTACATTTTCACTTGTTTTGGTGAAGCTGTGGATTTCCCGAAAATTGATCAGAAAATTTTCTTGGTTTTTCTGCTTTTTTTTTTTTGGGGACAAACATTAGAGCTCGAGAGCGAGAGAGAGCAGTTTAAACTGATAGAGTTATCCAGTATTAATAAAGTTAGTGTAGTCTAAGTTTCCTCCTGTAGTAACACTGGATCATCAAAAGATGTCTATATGGAAATTATCTCTATGGTAAACAGTTTAGAGCTATCCAGCATCAGTATATTCAGTGAAGATGTAATGTTGGCTTTGTGTTAAAACTATTTTCTTTCTGAAGAATTTACAGATCGAACTCCCAAATCCAGAAGGTTTTCTCAACTACGAACAATTCTGTACCGACACAGGCTGCTACAAACTAGGTAAACTGCGCAGACAAGATTCGAAATTCTGTGAATGCGCCAGGACTAATTTTGTTTTTTCTACCTTGATAGGCGATACAGTATTGTGTCAAACAGATGAAGGTTACTCCACAATCGCAAGAATTGATAAAATTTGGACAGACAGAACGTAAGTTCTCAACTGTATATTCTTTGGTTTAAATTCTAGTTTGTTTGAATACAAGTTCACAGAATTTCGTACGTGAAAACGGAAATCTTGTCTGTTTTAAGGGGCATGACATATTTTTGTGGCACGACATTTATCACGCCAGATGACACGCAACATCTTCCAACGCACATGTTTTATGATAAAGAAGTATTTCACGTGCCTGTCGATGATATACATCGTATGTGTGACATAGAGAGGAAATATTTTGTCTTGCCAATCAGAGAGTATATGAGGTGTAAGTATGATAGACCATTATTAGGGAACATCGAAGTGTTTCCACACAATAGTTTTCCCCATTTGTATTTTGTTACCCACGTAAAAACGCACAAGTTGCAACAAACCTGCAGCAGACTTGTAGCAATGCTGTTCCAACAACTTGTCAACAGGATGTGTTCGCACTGCTTGTTTTCAACTTGTTTGTTAATAAGTTGTTAACGGCTTGTTGGCCACATGCTACAAGGTTGTTGAGCTCAATAGACTTGTTACAAGTTGTTCCAACAACTTGTTATCGTCCTGCAATTCAACAAGTTGTGAGTGACAACCTTGTAGCAACTTGATAAACTAACAAGCTTGTTACAACTTGTTGACGGGCTTGCTACAAGCCTGTTACGAACACATCTTGTTGACAAGCTTGCTACAAGCCTGTTACGAACACAACTTGTTGACAAGCTTGCTACAAGCCTGTTGCGAACACATCTTGTTGACAAGCTTGCTACAAGCCTGTTACGAACACATCTTGTTGACAAGCTTGCTACAAGCCTGTTACAAACGCATCTTGTTGACAAGCTTGCTACAAGCCTGTTGTGAACACATCTTGTTGACAAGCTTGCTACAAGCCTGTTGCGAACACATCTTGTTGACAAGCTTGCTACAAGCCTGTTACAAACACATCTTGTTGACAAGCTTGCTACAAGACTGTTGCGAACACATCTTGTTGACAAGCTTGCTACAAGCCTGTTATGAACACATCTTGTTGACAAGCTTGCTACAAGCCTGTTGCGAACACATCTTGTTGACAAGCTTGCTACAAGCCTGTTGCGAACACATCTTGTTGACAAGCTTGCTACAAGACTGTTGCGAACACATCTTGTTGACAAGCTTGCTACAAGACTGTTGCGAACACATCTTGTTGACAAGCCTGCTACAAGACTGTTGCGAACACATCTTGTTGACAAGCTTGCTACAAGACTGTTGCGAACACATCTTGTTGACAAGCTTGCTACAAGACTGTTGCGAACACATCTTGTTGACAAGCTTGCTACAAGACTGTTGCGAACACATCTTGTTGACAAGCTTGCTACAAGCCTGTTACGAACACAACTTGTTGACAAGCTTGCTACAAGCCTGTTGCGAACACATCTTGTTGACAAGCTTGCTACAAGCCTGTTACGAACACATCTTGTTGACAAGCTTGCTACAAGCCTGTTACAAACGCATCTTGTTGACAAGCTTGCTACAAGCCTGTTGTGAACACATCTTGTTGACAAGCTTGCTACAAGCCTGTTGCGAACACATCTTGTTGACAAGCTTGCTACAAGTCTGTTGCAAACACATCTTGTTGACAAGCTTGCTACAAGCCTGTTGCAAACACATCTTGTTGACAAGCTTGCTACAAGCCTGTTGCAAACATATCTTGTTGATAAGCTTGCTACAAGCCTATTGCGAACACATCTTGTTGACAAGCTTGCTACAAGTCTGTTGCAAACACATCTTGTTGACAAGCTTGCTACAAGCCTGTTGCAAACACATCTTGTTGACAAGCTTGCTACAAGCCTGTTGCAAACATATCTTGTTGATAAGCTTGCTACAAGCCTGTTGCGAACACATCTTGTTGACAAGCTTGCTACAAGTCTGTTGCGAACACATCTTGTTGACAACTTGTTGATAAATTGTTGAATTGCAGGACGACTTGGAACAACTTGTATCCGTGCTTGACATAGATACAACTGAAACACTCGGCTGTCGCGTCCGCCACTGCTCGTGTTTTTACGTGTGTTGTCGTATCTTTCTAAATACGCAGATGCCTCTATATAAGACTAATTTTATTGTGGATACTTTTTAGACACGCGTGGAACTATTGCCCTGATGGATTTTTTGTCGATGGCTTTGAGCGTTCTGATGGAACCACTATTTACCATCTAGAGAAAGGTGTGTGCTGTAAACCAAGGAGTGCACCTAGTCACTGGGGTCACTGTTATGCAGAAAGTATTGAAACCAGTTTTGATGTACCATATGCCAAGGTCGGATGTCAGCAGCCATTGCATTATATTGCTGGAATATTTACACACGCGTGCGGCGAGA